CAAGAAGAACCAGATCAAGGCGCCTTGGAACCAGATGAAGCAGTGGCGGAAGAAGCTGATAATGATAGGCAGTTAGCTAATCAATTCCAACATGAATTAGATGCACAAAAATGTTACACTTGCACTAACTGTCATCGCCAACAACTACAGCTTCAAACCAATCACCGATTTGTTCGCGTTGTCGTTCAAATGCAACTAAATTCACGGTGTTAAATAATATGGATGTGTCAAGTGTCCCGAACGAATTAACTGACATGACGATTGTAGAACAAATGTTGATTGCACGAGTACATCCTGCTATGCCCATTTACAAAGTACAAGCAAATGGTCAGGATGGCCAGTTTCACTACAAAGGTGCAGTATAAACTATCAGATAAATTTGCCATTCTTTAGAATTGAAATAATATCGGGCAAACAAACGGTGAATCTGTTGAAAGGGAACATATTGAAGGGTGTTAGCTGTTTTAGCCATCGACAATCTTTAAATAATGTTTCGCTCATTTATGCGTCTAAAGTGTAACGGCAGACCACCCTAGTTTACATTTTTGTTTACTTATTTTATTATTTACTTTTACGTTCTAAAAAGAGTCGCGGTGAATGGACAGTGAAGCTATTTATAGCTGTTTGTTACAAGTGAGTAACTAAAGGTGTTCGAACCATGATGACTATGAGATTAACAAACCATGTATGTTGTTCGTTCCAAGAGGTTGTCACCGATCTTTAACAGATCGCAATTTCATTGAAAAGTATTAAAGATGTCGTGAAAGAGAGCTGCGTGTTCAGGTACAACCTCGGCCAACCTTAGGACGTAAGGTATGAAGGTTCCACTGCCTTTAACATACTTTCACATGAAAATTTCTCGAACTTGGGCCCTTTAAATGAAATATAAAGTCAAAGTTGATTAAATTAATTTAATGGTGGTTTCTATTCACCCGTGAATTCACGGGTAGAACCTCTTGTTTCAGTTTAAAGTGTGAATTGTAGTTTAACAGCTGAATGTACATTCGTAGTACATTCATTCAGATAATTTAAACAAGAGACGTAGTATAAAAATAATGATAGGCCTACTTTAATTAAATTACAGTCTGGTGTAAGGTAAACAAAAAACTGCAGTGTTTAAAATAATGTTTACCTAAAAAACTTCTGGTAGTGTCCTATTTACAAGCAAATACAAAGTGAAAGTAAATAACAATTTGTTATGTAAAAACCAGATAAACACTAAGTATAAAATACGAAATTAAAAACTAAACCAATGTAACAAGAGACAAGTATGTTATAAAAATGTGTTTAAAATATAATCCTATATATTAATTAACAGTCTGGTGTATTGGTACAACAAAATATTAAAATTAAACTTGTAACTGCAGTGTTTAAATGATCAATTGCTACAAAAAGGCTTCTAGTGATGTAGATATTTACAATCAATAAAAGAAATTTACAGTTTGTTATATACCAAATCAGAAAATTCAGTTGGATGGAATTAAATGCCCCTATGCATTTCATTCAACAATTAATTAATGTAATTTGCAACTTAATAATTGGAACACACAATTCAACATTGTGCATTTCCAACAAAAATTATGTTGGATGGAATTAAATGTACTGTTGTTATTAGGTGAAATAACACAGAACAAGTATCAAAATTAAACTTTTACGGCCAAAATTTAGCGTACGCAGCCAACGAAATAAAGAATTCAAGTTAAAATTACTACAAGTATTTTGCATTTAAAGGTTTCGTAATACAGTAAAGTTAAATAGACACCTTCTAGTAATGAAATGCACTATTTTGTATTGTTTTACTACCTTACACAAACATCTGTTACTTTTATATTTGGTGTTCGCGGCCAACGAAATAAAGAATTCAAGTTCAAATTACTACAAGTACTAGTGTACCTGTTGCTCGAATTCGAGCAATTGCGAAGCATTACAGGCGACTCACGAAGATTATGAAGTACTCACGATCTACACAACAGTTAGATATAATCAAAATCTTTTGTAAATATCTTATCTTTCCTCAAAAAGCTGATCTTGTTTTTTAGTGTTTCTACATATTTTTCCCTCTCATAGCCGCATTAGGTTGTCTAAAATAACGATTATAAATGAAAAAAAAAACATTATTTCTTTTCTTCTACTTGGTTGTGTAGAACCATATTCTTGCACACACTACCAGTTTCCACAAACTTCCTATGTCATTTATTAATTCGTTTGTACCACGGTAGTTCCTTATTTAAATGTTGTCGAATCTGTCGTCAGATTTTGATTATAGATTCACATTTTGCAAATTCCAAAACACGAAATTATTTTTCTTCGGGATCCAAATATTTTTCATTACAAGACTACAGTATAATTAAAATAAACAAAGTTTTTTAGTACAAAATAATTAAAGACATTAATCAGCAGATACGAAAATGAAACTCCATTCTTTGCTTTATCCAATTCCTTATAAATTCTTGGCCGGCTGGATCTCAAGTGATAAACATGTAAAAAACTGCACATTCATTTTGAAACACTCTGTATTTCTCGTCATACTGCAGCAGTACGTTCTTTGTATCCGTCACGCAAAAAAAAAAAAAAATAAATAAAATAACTGGCAGTAGTAGAGAGCATAAACTTTAAAGGTACACTTCTGACAAATCCGTCTACTGATTTCACCAGAAGTAGTTCCGATTTAAAAAGTTATAAAACCACACCTTAACATGTTGTAGGTGATTTAAATAGACTATTTTGTAACTATTATTACAATTTAGACATTAAAAAAAATTAAAAACTAGTGTTTAGTTTTTAAAAAAATTGTGAATTTTCAAATCAGATTATTTTGGAAATTTTAATAAAAATATATTACATATTATTTTACATAATATTTTTTTACATAATATATTATAGCTACACGTGTGTGTTTTATGTTGGCTCATTTGTCAGGCTTCATGTTTAAGTCTAATTATTCGTTGTCTGCTTCGCCTTGTGAGTTGACCTTCGCAGTTAAAGCAGTACACTTCAACAAGTCAAACTTATGTTAGCCACATTACCATCCTAAGTAGCCAATCTGAGTCAGACTTTGTAGTCCTCGCTTTTGTGAGAGAAGCAAGTCTGATGGATTTTACCATTTAACAGAGTGTATATCAATGAGAATGAGTTCTGATTTTAATCATTGGCGCTGAGGCAAATATCACTGAGAACATCACTGAGAAATTTCAATGGTTTTCATCATTGACGCTAAGACATATATCACTGAGAATCATATCACTTAGCATTTTCACTGATTTTGATCACTGATATTCTTCTTTGTCACTGAGACATTTATATAACTTAGAATGTTTACTGATTGTAATCACTGATTTTCATCATTGACGAAGAGGCGTGTATCACTAAGAACCATATCACTTAGAATGTTTACTGATTGTAATCACTGATTTTCATCATTGACGAAGAGGCGTATAACACTGAGAACCATATCATTGAAAACTTTAACTGATTTTATTACTGATTTTCATCATTGACACTGAGGCGTATATCACTAAAACCATATCACTGAGAATTTTCACAGATTTTTTTACTGATTTTCATCACTTACACTGAGACGTATATCACTGTGATTCACCGTTTGTTAGACAATTCTTTAATCACTGCTACATACAAACAAAAGTTTAGTAGCATACCCCACTTCACACACCTTTTCGTAATAAATATACCAATATAGATTTTTTAAATATTAATGTATAAGTTATTGAATAATCAATTCAGTTATTTTTAAATTTACATTTTACTCCTAAATTGTGTATGCTAATTGTATTGATATAAAATCCCTTAAACATACATTCCAAATAATTGTTTTCTATGAAAACTTTGTTGTATCTCAAAAAGTAAGTGAGAAACTATTAAAAAACAATTGTAGCATTTAACTTAGGAATTTATACATACGAGTAGATAGGTAGTGATGTAGTAATGTTGTAGTCATGTTTTGTTATAACATATCATCGTGCGATTCTCTAGCGTACGAAATCCGAAGGGTATTTGACACTACTAATTTTATTTATTTTGCCCACTAGCCCATTCATCTATCCTAAATTTTACACCAAATTTATCTCTCTCTTTTACTACCCTTATAATTTTTTTAGCGAATTTCCCTATAGGGAAGTAGCTATTACCGTAGGTGGCACGGTAAGACCTAGACCCGGGACCGATTTACTTTTTCATTTTGATGTCCCCAGAGGCCAAAAACACCATTCGTTAAAATTTGTATATATGTATATATATATATATATATATATATATATATATATATATATATATATATACACGTCCGTGAACGCGATAACTTGAGTAATTTTTGTCCGATTTTGATGAAATGGGCTTTTATGGGTTAAAATATAGTTTTTCTCATTTTGACCCTCAAAACACAAAATTTCCCAATTTTTCTCTAGACCGTTTTAAAGAGCTTAAAAAACAAATAATTTAGTATATCAAAGTGTTTTTGTACGGCTTATGGTCATGGAGAAAATTCAAAAAATTGTAAATTTCAAATTCATATGTTATTCTTATGGAGATTAAAATGTTGTAGTTTGCTTGTTTATGGATATATTTTGATCAAACTTGTCAAATTTATTTATTTTATACTAAGCTATCAATATTTTACTAAAATACACTTTATTAGTTTCCTTGTAGCAGCAAACCTCATTAAACCTTATGTTATTTAAATAGATTATTTAGCCTAATTTAAAATAAATTCAGACAAATGGAAATTCGCTTAGTCGGCAGGTATGCTGCGGCGAGGGTATTTTTTTTACTTTATCCACTCCTAAAATATTCAAACCCAAATACCCTTATTCCATAACCTATCCAACGCTAGGCTAAATATTCAGGAGTGGGTGGCGTAAAGGTTGGAACTCGGAAGGTAACCAAAACAAGACCAGATGAATGGATCGATCCATAGTCCCGGCATGAGGTTACGGCGGGTGGCGCGGGGAGGGGCTGCGTGTTTTGGCGGGTGTTATTGTCGCCAGCAGCAGACGACAGTGTGCGCGCGCGCCTCTTGGTGTAAGGACGGCAGGCGCACCTCCGCGGAGTTTCTTGGCAAGGTAGGATTATTTTTTATTTGGAAAATCGTTTTATTTCACACTGTTACTATAAATAAATAACTATATTGTTAAATATACTGTAGTTTTAGTATCCTGAAAGTTAATATACCACACAAACTATGAAATAATTGGTGATTATGGTATTCATGTACGATCACATCTAGATTGTAAAATTTTTATTTTTGATTACATGTATTGTATGTAATTATTACAGTTAGGCATATAGACCCCTAATTTTTATAGCCCCTTCCTAATACTTTTAGGAAGTGGCAGTCTAAGTGGTTGACGGTTGTATTGATTGTCTTATGAAATGTGACGCAAATGAATATTCTAATAAAATTGAGCTTGGAGTTGTCTCTGTTACATAGCAGAGTATTGAATAATGTTTTGTTATTGAATGTTATAATGTTTTAAGAGTATTTTAAATCACCTACGTAATTTTATAGGGTCTATTTGATTTGGGTGTTGTTTTTACTGGATTTTAACGTCTTTTTAGTATCACGTTAAATTAATTAGTAAAAAAATATAAGCTACAAATCTTTTTTGGAATAATGCTCTATAGATATTAAAAATTATGCAGCATTGACGTTTTCTTACAGTAAGAATAAATTTAAATAAATACCTACCGTATTTGTCATAACTAACAATACATTGTTAACATAATTATAATAGAGCGGAATGCAATGGATTCCTGGGTTTTCTGATAAAAAGGAAAGAGTAGGTCTCCGCATTATATTGTAAAAACAATATAAGAGAAAATATAAAACAATATAACAACGTAAACCCCAATTACATAAAACAATAAATAAAACAATATAATATTGTTATACAACAATATAATAATTATTACCACACTCTAATGGCAAATTAAAACCTATAATTCATTAAATAAATTAATAGTTGTGTATTAAACTGACCCTTCAAAAATACTAACTCATAAAAAGCGCAGTGCAAAAAAATGTACTTGTGGCTGTATTACAATCAGTATAATAATCAATACTATTTATTTTAGCTGTAACACGTCACAAATTTGAAATCATAACAACTATGCTTCATTAAAAAAAGAGCTTCTAAATTTCTATGTAGAGGTAAGGAAATAGACAATTTTACAAATAATCTAGAAAAAACATTTCATATACTTCGCTTCATGATATAACAATTAGTAGTTTAGTTTCTCGATAGTTTTTGTGTATTGTATAGTCTTTCTCTTTTTTTATACGAAAGGAAACCTGCAATATACACTTACCAATAACTTGGTAATAAGCTCAAGGGAACTTGGAGATAACAATATTTACTTTGGTCGATAAAATATTGCCTTACTTCTTCGTTGATGGAGTTTATAGCCTTACTGTAACAGAACATAATATGAAAATATACTTGGCTTAAAAATATTTATCGAGGGAAAAGTAAATTCGATACTTTATCGTCGTGTATTGCTCCTTCGGCGCAATGGGGGGGGGGGAGAATGTTTAAAGTTACTTTGCTAATTTACTGTTTCTAACAGCTGTTCTCAAATTACTATTTTATATCTTGTTTACTTTTTGTTCAGTTAAAGAAATACAGTCCACTAAGAAACATCATCTAGTTTTTTTTTCTCTATTTATCTATCTTCATCTACATTTTAATCTAAGTTTATCGATCGATATAAATTCTTTAATCATGTAATGCTTTTTAACTTTTCATCACTAAGCAGCATACCATTGTTTTAAATATAAATATTTATTTTCACACACATGTTAACAACTAAAACAATTTGGAGTATGACAATATTTATAACGTCGGTTTAGATCGTAGCCTTGATGAGTATAAACAAATGCTGTAGGTATTGAAAAGAAATAAAATTAAAACCCACATAAAATATATACAACTCAGTTAATTTGGTGTGGTTATTTATATTTTAAACCAAATTTTAAGATTTACTTGTAGATTATTTTTTTTAAGTTACCTGTTACTGGAATTGGTTTGATTTTGTTTATTTATTTGTTTTATTACAATGCTGCAAAACAGGATAAGCCCAGTTACATTGTAGCATTAATATTCGAACAACAAAATCTTGACATGCATTATAAATAATAAATATTGTAAAAGTTCCTCTTGCTAAAGAAATTATAACTATTAGTGTACGATACAGTACGTGTGATATACATGGGAGACCTAAATTATAATATCATACACTAAAACGAGTTATTTAATAAGACATGTGTTTAAAACGTGCACTCTTACTGCTTATGGGGGTGGTTTTTAAATTGCAATTCAGTAAATTTTTTATTCGGACATCTAATATAATAATTATTGAAATATGAATGGGTTAGGACTACTAATGAAATGTTGAAACGTACATACATTTCAGATAAAGTTAAGTCTGTTTATTTAAAAATCGTTGTTTCAGTTTTTGGTTTGTAAAAAATCGTAAATCCCATTAAAACATGTTAAAATCTATTTAATTTTATCAGTTGGTCACCAAACGATCAGTTGGCCAGTTTAGGATTAATTCGTATGTTTAAATAATTAATTTTAATTTGATGCAACAATAATATAAACGTGTTTACTTTCATGTAACATCTTAGGAGGGTAGCTAGATGTTTAGAGAGGTTGGGGATGTTTACACCCCATTGCGGTGTCATCTCGGAATTTATTGACAAAACGAAAACCCACGTTTTGTCAATACCATCGTTTTTTGTCCGTCTATTTCTTTTGTCTCGTGTTCAACTAAATTAATAAGTACCACTAGCATTTCTTTATGCTTTCTTAAACTTTCTTTGTTGGTTATAAAAATAAGATTAATAAACACATGTTTTAGATTAGTTCAATGATTATTTTACTAACACAAATGCACTTTAGAAGAAAATATTTTAATTTGATAAATTTTACTCAGTTAAAATGCGGAAAGTTATACAACCAAAATTAATTACTATGTATAATGAAGGGTCTCCATTAAATCTATATATAAAGCCAAAAGTTCCCATGAACTTTGAGAAAACTACAAGTCACACCCCATAAACCATCTATAGTATATGATTTTGAACGGGTGTTTTTTGCATCTAGGGACCTCAAAACGAAAAAGTAAATCCGTCCCGGGTCCAGGTCTTACCATCAGTACTACGGTAATAGTTTATTCCCTATATGGGAAATTCGCTAAAATTAACTATTTGTGACACACTAATTGATTATGACTATGTACTGCAAAGGTGCTTATTATTGTAGAAATTAGTGATAATTTATATTTAGTCTCAGAGACTGGAAGCCTTGAATAACTAACTACATGTTTAACTATTTATTTAGTATATTCAGTAACCTATACACAACCCCTAATTATTACTATATGTTTAGAGCTCCCGTCAATTGTAGCTACACGCACATGTAGGGACGCACACAGCGTCCTCCGTTAGCATTTTTCTATTAAAATTACTCATTTATACAGTCCGCTAAAATCGTATTGTTACGCGTTTTTCAATTTATTCAAATTCATTGTGTATTCAGAACTTCCAACATCATCTCTGCATTTTTTCAGTGTTATTAAATTCAGCATACTCAGTAAACTCAGTGTTTTCATTTCAAATTTCCACAAAAACTATTAACTCATTAAATTAATTTCACTACTCAGCCATCAGCGCAACCACATAACACTATATCTACCATATATTACTGTATATCTCTTACATATATCTCTTACCATGTCCTGATGTCCAACAAACGGGAATTCGGTATAATATATGATTTCTCATAAAAAAATAAAGAAAATAATAATATGAAATTACGTCCGAAATGCCTAATAGGGAAATAACGCCTTACCATCCCTACCATCCTACAATAATAGATTTTCCCTACATGGGGAACATGCAAACTGCAACAGAATCCAGTTTATATTTTTGGATGTTTATGAATCCGCATAGTTTAGACATCAACACCAATCTCAAGCGTAGAATGTGTTTGGTGAACTGGGTTTTTTGCTGGACGATTGCCCGATCAGAAATAGCGAACCTGACTCACCAAACGCTCGAACTCGCCATTACACTGGCTGATAAAGATATCAGCTGGAAGGAAGTTTCTACAAAGCGAAGTTTCTAAAATAGATCTTTCTGCTAGCGAAACCATTTGATATTCATATATTCTACGAATGTTTGGTTGCTTGTTTCGATATCATGGTGTAAAGCGATGTTTTCTGCACAGTAAGATTTAGACTTATATTGTAAGGTTTGAATTTATTTATGTAAATCTGCAATGGTCTATTTGCTTTTTAGAAGTTGCAGGATGGTGTAAACTTTAATGAGTTCGCGAATCAGCAAGATCATTGTTATGGGGTTTCAAAATGTTCAATAATATTATGTTTTTGGAATATATAATTAACGAGAGCTCGCCCCGTGGTCGAAAACTCGACCAAAAAGATGTATTGTGCTGACTTTTCTATTTCCACCCCACCCTGTAATAAAAAATGTGAGTGAAATTTCTTCCATTTGTTTTGATTTTCTGTTTATATTTTATTGTTATTTCGTCACCAACATTGCAACCCATAAGGCCCATGTTAATTTTTGTCAATTTAAAATTCATTTTTGTGCTTATTATTTAGCCTATTTTAATTTATAAAGGGATTCTGCACATCTACAGGAAAATATCTTTCATTTGGTACCAGCCGCGTGTGATTCGGTCCAGTAGTATACCTAAACCTTGCCTACAGGTATGAGTGTGGTTTTTTAAGTTTTCCTTTTTGCTTTTTCTCTGCTTTGTTAATTTTTTTTTTCTCCGCTGCATGTTTTACAGTTTTGTTTTGCAGTTTTTTATTTATTTATCTATTATGCATGGTGTGCTCTTTGGACATTTGTATGTGCTCTTTGGACATTGTTTTGTAAATCAAGAGGAATGCATCTCTGTTTTGTATTTTAGTTTAGTGTTAGTGACTTGGCCAATTGTTATAAACTGAACGGCTCAATAAATCTTGAATCTTGAATCTTGAATCTAGTATGGCCAGGCAGCTGTCATAAACTTTACAAAAGTTTTAATTA